AGATACGTTAGAAGTACGAGCGCATTCAATTCTTGGAAATGCGTCGCCGTCTACCAGCGGCGGAGAGAGCGAGGGAATGGAGATTCTGTCGAGTGCAAAGGACGATTGAAAATGTTGGCGGCGATCCAACGAGGGGGGTCGGTCCTATTCGGGCTTCGTATACATGTTAAAAAATGTTCCCTTATCCAATATTATTTCCACGATAAATTCAACGAGAACGCGATATCAGATCAGGAGCACGCGAAAAAGTGCGCGCGGAGTAGGAATCGAGTTGTCACTCGCAAAGATCGAAATATTATATCATACCTCGCTACAACATTGATGGAAATGCCTTATTTCGTAGAACATACTGTTGGAGGTTTCAGACATAATTTCATAGGTTTTACATGAACCTGGTTGGTGGAACTTTAATTTTGAGGTGTGTAAAGAGCTACACGCTCTTAAATCGATAACCAGATTTATGTATTGAGAGATATCAGGCCTGTTGTGACTGAAACTTCTCGGATTTGGTATGCAACTTTGTGCTCCTCACATCTGAATGAGAGAAACGGGAGTGGCAGCGACGCGAAACGCGCCGGTGGACAAAAAGGCGGAGAGTAGTTATACATTTCCAACTTACGGCTTCGTAATTACACGAAGAAATATGTTAGATCATATCTCGCAAAGTTGTCGCGTGTACAAAGAGTGTAAAGCGAATTTGTAACGCTCGTCGGACAGACACATGTCGCATCGCGTATACAGCCCCGCCGTTTCAGAAAACCGAAGCGAGTAGTCCGCAGAAGCGGGGACAATTACGCCCGTCCGCCGCCGTCCGCCGGCGTGCCGGCTAGTTGAAAAACTGTGGCTTTACACGGCGCGTTAAGTACGTATAACAACCATCCGCAATTATGCGCCTGGAGACAAACGTGTAAATAAATGTGCATTTCTATGCGCGCGCACACACATATGCACACAGATTTATACATACATATAGGCACACGCTCCAGAGCGCAGAATGACTCACGAGAGTGTCCCAACTATTGTGCGCCTACGCAAAGCAAAGCGCATGACATACTGCAAAGTCAGTCCTGTTACAAAGGTACAATGTTAAAATATCTGGGTACAGTTACTTGAATAATAAAATGGCTAGATACAGATAACGATACACGCTACATTAGCTCCGTTCTGTTTAGCGGCATGCTCTGTACATGTATACCTTCCCGCGCGATCCCCTTTTTCTCTTCATTCGTCGTCTAAATTCTGGTGTATGCTTATTTATTTAAAAAACGCTACAAAAAATAGATTTTCCTATAGTATCTAGAATACAGATACAGGTGAAAATCAAGTATAGTTACTTTAGGGATAGAGTAATTAGAAGATAAGGCAAATCAGACAAACGTGAAAAACGATACCCAGACATTTAACTCGCAGTAGGTAAGAAACTTGCGTTAACTGCCGGGGTGAATGGGATGGAAAGGTGGGGAAATCGAGTTGGGGGTCAAGGTTAAAAACTCGCGCTCCATAGGAAGTATAATGATCGAGCATCCGAGGGACTGCTCGCCAGAAGATCGGATATCAGAATCATAAATGCCAGCTGGCGAATATATGCTTAATTTAAAAGCCGGTTTTAGCTCCATTTACTCACGGGATAATATTATAATGCGATCGACAATAAATTTTCGAGAAACGCATGATAAACGTCCAATTACGAATGAAATTTGAATTTGGAATCTTAATAATCTTAATATAGACGACGCTATCATCATTTGCTCGCGATTTGCATTGATTTAATTTGCAAAGCGATAAAAGCGTTATTACGCTAACTCGGCGAAGTAAGTTTTTAATATCGTCGCTTTTATATGTACATCACCTGTCCACGAGTTTTCACAGTAAAAGCAGAACGTGATTAGCGCATTTGAACGCGTTAACAGCTACGCGGAGAACCGTCGGTGTAGCTCGCGCTCCACCTTATTTACGATTTCATCGTGCCACCTGCGACAGAGATTACGCCTTCCGAACAGGTTTTCATACCGCGTTTGCAGCAACGTTCGCCGCTGTAGATCGCTGAAAGTCTAGTCGCACGTAGAAAAGGAATCTCATTGCCTTTGTTGGAGCGCAACCGGGGAAAGAGAGAGAGAGGAGGTCGCGGGGAGAGGAAAAGGAAGGGAAGGGAGCCGCTCTCGAGAGTCGAGATTATACATCAGATTCAGCGCGCCGACGGGCGACGTCGTTGCCGATGCCACTTGAGCTCGGAATCGTATCTAAATGTACCTCGTATATCAGAAATCGAACCGTTCCCCGCGGCTCCGTGCGCTCAGCGGCCCAACGGAGTTTACGTACGTCATTTCGTGGGATGGTCACGATGGCCGAGGATGGAGCGTCGCCCTACTCCGGCATCGCCAGCCAGATGCCGGCCACGACCATTTCTCTCGTGCTTGGCGACATCGCGACAAGCCCGCGTGTGGAAATTTTCTTTGACCGTTTTCCGCCGCCGCCTTACGACCAAGGCTCGCGAGAGACGTTTCGAGTATTTATGATATAGGAATACGAGATGCGGCGGAAAGATCTTCCGCCGCTGAGCGCGGATGAAACGTTAGTTTGCGTTACTACGCGTTATCAAGGCGTTCTCTATTCCTGTCGACAACGAATCTACGAGGGGGTCCGTAATTTATGATTATCATTGTAATGAAAGTCGTCGGGCGTTTGCGCAACAAATCGTTCTCTCCTCGCACAAGTATATGAATACGCTTTCTCGAGTCGGAAGTATTACCGCAACGTTAGTTGGAATATCAGCGCGTAATGCTGAATATCATCGTGGCCACGTTTAGATTTTTAGATACATTGTAATAAATTGAACCCTGTAGTTCTTCATTACGATTACTCGGGCGGCGTGAAACAATTGAAGTAACAGGGTATCTTTACGTTTCTTGCGCTTGTTTTCCATCAAATTCCTAACTTTGAATTTCGATTGACGATCCGCGGAGCAAATTTACGTACGAGCTGCAAACACACCTATTTTTCCTCAAGCCGTAAATCTGCACGGCACGGGCACGGTACACGTAGCATGTGCATTTTTCACGGCGAAATGAGCGATGTGGAAGTTAAGTGGTTAAACGAACGGTGAAAAACACGAAACGACACTACCATTGTCCACCTTTCCACGGGCCGGATATAACGAACGCGCTCCGCGTGAAACGACGGAATTGATCGGTATTGGAGAGCGCTTGTTCCAGAGCGGTGGTGGTGTTTCACGTATACTAGTTTGCGTATACACCACTTCGCGGTAATCGGTAAATTGCGCTTCGTGCTGATCGAAATAACGATTTCGCGCTTTTCTAATTGGCCCCGAACAGAGGTCACAAATCATATCTCGAAGCGCGAAGGTTCGCGGTTATACATGCGCTCTCGGACGAGAATCTCCCCTTTTTGCTCCTTTAACCACCATTACTCTGTTATTATCCCGTCTTATACCCCCCGCATTCCCCCCACCCCTTTGCCGCCCTCCGTGTCCCTTGCTTTCCTTATTTTAACGGATTCCATGGCCGCGAATGTATATATGAAAGAGTTATCGGGGAGGATGAAAAGGAACAGGAAGAAGGGAAGCAAGCGTGGGAGGCGAGATGAGTAGACGGGAAGTTAAACAAAACACTTCGGATGAAGTTCTACGAGGGTACTTAAGACTCTCGACTCCGTGCTCCATTATCGCATAATGCGGTAGTATTATAAAGAAGTAAATGGTACACCCGTCTGCGCGCTGCGTGTGAGCCCCCCCCGGAAGTGGAGTACATTCATGCGACCGTAATGCGGGCGCGTAGATACGTGTCTCAGTCCGCAATAACGTGACGTCTTCCTACAATTTGAATTTTCACGGGTAATTCGACCGCGGTTGACCGCCGTAAAGAATCCATCTATGTCGCGGTCGCAACTTCGCGACCACAATCTCGCGGCACTCACCGTTAAAACAGGCAACGGCATTAGCCCGCACCGGCCTCGGCAAGGCGTGACCCGCTGATGGCAGGTAATTGAATATCTTTAACGCCTCTTCGAAGATCGACGTGCCGCGTCTAGATCCGCATTTCGCTTTAGAAAATCCTTCCTTCGTATATTCCCCCTCTGCAATCCCTTCCCTCCCTTCCTCACCTCCCCAAGTAATCCTCATTATCCTGATAGCTTATTATGTCCCTTTCAAAGTCCTTTTATTTTTGCTGTCTATCTGTCGTAAACGCGTCTTTTTATTAATTAAGCTTCGGATCTAAATTTTTATGAATGCTCTGTGTGAGAGGTATATACCTAAGATATTTTTATTCTAAAATATTTTGTTAGACTTTTTAGTATTATTATCTCTCGTCCCTCTTATCGCGTGCTTTATTCTTCCTGTCTTTCCCTCTTCCTTTACTTCCTCACGCCCTCAGCTTCAAGCAAGTTTTCCACGAGTCACGATCGAAGCTCCCGTCACATAGCGGAGATTAATTACGATTTAGCAAAGAGCGGATGACGTATGACGAGACGTGGGCGGAGTGCCTACTTCGTCGCTTATCGCGACGCGGGCCAATAACCGAGGGAAGAACGTGGTACTCACGGCGCGCGCGGCGGCGGGAATGATAAACGCGCTGATTTATCAAAATTGTAGTCTAACTCGACAACGTCTATAGAATATCGCAATCGCACGCATCGGACGTGAGTGACATAACAGTGTACGCCACTTTACTATTGACCTACATAAATCTCTCGGTTATCAGAATAAAATGGAAAACCGCAAGCGATTTCTAAAACAAGTTATAAATAACGTGTATAAAAAATGTACGAACAAATTTTAATATAATCCCAACAATTAATATCAATTATAGATACTTTAATTGATTAACAAATCAATAGTCGCAGGTTAATCAAATAAACTATATCGGGAGATAGCAACGTATTTTTCTTAAATCACAGTCGTTAAAGACGTACAAAATATCTTTTACGCAGCATTTAGGTGTCAAATCTTTCCGTAATTAATTTGGGATTATTTCTGCTTTTAGGCGCGCTGTCGCAATCGCAGTTCCCCGTGTTCACGATCTACGCCCAGAAGAGCTGCCTGGCGGTGAAGCCCTGCGAACGCGCTTGGTGCATCGACAGAGTGCAGGGACACCGCCTTCAGGGTCACGCACGCAGGACCATGACCGCCTCCTCGAGGCAGCACTGCCTCGAGCTTTGCCTCGGCGAACGAGACTTCCTGTGCCGGTGAGTACCGATGCGATGTATTTTCCCTCTTATACACGTAGAACTGTCCGATTGCTCGTTTTCCACCGACCTGCTTTTCTATCCGCTTCATCGCGGATACGATGTCCGTGGAGTAGAAGGACGGAACCTCGGGCTTCTCTCGTCGTAATATTCGTCGCGAATCGGTACGCAGAGGGAACGCCGGCTCGAGTAGCTTTCGAAGAGCGTACGCTCCAATGCATTTTCCAGTTATTGGATTCTTGGACCAGCTAGAGGACGTTACACCACGCTCTTATACACTCACGAGTGTTTCTCAAACATGAACCGTACGCCCGGCTGCGAAAGGAAATGGCCGAAGAATACGCAAGTATTCCGAGTTGGATAGGATCGATCTAACTCGCGCTAAAATTGCTGTTTATCGCCCCGTATATTGTAAAAAGGACGTTTTCGAAGCGAGCTTTCTCGATCACTGAGGATAAAGCGCGGGATAATCTTGAATTTATTAAATTATATTAAAAATTCACAGAGAAAAAGATATTCTATATATTCGTGACATATATTTGAGAATAAATTAACCCACGCGTGCGTTGTGTATTCGAAATTAATTAAATTCTGCGAAGCTGTGGAAAAAAATTATTCAAATATTTTGTTCCACCGCTGAACATTAACACATTAATAAACAATAGGTAGAAAAAATAATCTTGAAAAATTCATACGTGCTGCAAAAATGTTTTTATTTCTTACTTGAGCTACACGTACGTGTTTGTCGCGCTACTGTGCGATAAACAAATCATGAATGCTCGATAAATAATAATTTTTCGGTGTTATCAATCTACACGAGCTATAAAGCGTAATAAAACGCTTTGATCGTAACGGAAATAACGATACTCATATCAACGCGTTTATTCTGACGAACGCACGGCATAATATGACATTGTGTCACCCCACCGCAACAGTGTGAAAATTTTATTGTCGAGGAATTTGAATTTTAATTGAATGCATTTGAAACTTGAAAATAATGAATATATAAAGCAGCTGCATTACGTTAATAGCGAATAATTTCTCTGTCAAATAAAGTGCCGCGCGAATATCTTACAATGCGTGTGGCGATATCGATTTACTTTGATCGCGTCTCGCAATCGTATATTCGAAATTTATAGGCCATCCCCACCGTGTGTAACGATTCCGAGAGGAAGTCGACGAGAAAACGCGATACGCGACTTTAGCGGCTAACGAACTAGACGCGGATCGTCGTTTTACGAGTGCATATAGGTGCCCGCTAATTCCGCATCGACGGACATGTCCCTGTTGCGGATCACTCGCATCGTCGCGCTGGTCTTATTTACCATAATGCGTAACGGCGCGTAACCGGAGCGCAATAATGCGTATCGCGGCGTCTTTATTGCGCGCGCGCGCTTATAAATAATGCAGCTCCGCGTGGACCGCCGATCGTGATTCGTACGCGTTTACGTTGGTGGTATCCGGGGAGCGTAATGACCGACGCACTTTCATTACTCCTACAACGAGCGAAAGAGGGAGACGAACCGTGAGAGGGAAGCTCGGGGAAAGAGGAAATTGAAGGTACAGAGCCGGGCATGGGCATCGGTGAGTTGCTTTACGGTACGATTATATCGCATTTTAAATGCCCTCTTTCACACGACACGCCATGGCTACTCTTCCGATCGCGGTGTGTTGTACGAACTGCATCGTTCGTTCGTATGCATTATGCATGTGAAAATCGCGCGAAAAAGGCGCATCCCGTTGCGACGAGACGGAAAGGGACGGAATGACGGGGAGAGACCGTGTATGGTATTCGCATGCGTGCCAATTATATGCGATGTTACACTCTTCTGATAATCGGATTTATTTTGCAGGAAATTCGCGAATTATGTGCCGCATAAAACCCCCGCGTTTAGCATTCTTTTTGATAACACAAGTATTGGGCGCGTATCGGCATGCGCGCACATTTCCCAATGCCGTAATCTCGTCTTTTCCGGCCTGCGCGCGAAGAGCCGGTTTTTATGCGCGCGTCGTTATTGCCAATTCTCTTTCTCCGATCGTTATCGCCGGTCGCTACAAGTAAGCGTCTAGACAAGAATGATTTCTCTCCGTGCCGCGCGCGCGTGCGCGATCGACCGTTAGACATTTAAGGATTTTTCTCACGGAAAGTAGTGATTATCGATCCCAATGGCTTTCTACGATTCACCATACGTTGATTTATATGCTAATCCGTGTAGTCCGTCTATCAATTACGGCGCACTTGATCTATAATTACATTCACCTTTGAAATACGATTTTTTATCGTGTATCACATTCGCGTTTTTACTCGGCTCGCGCTCTTTGAATGCGCTTAAGCATTTTAAACGTGACACGCGTTCGACGCAATAGCACGTAGAAAAATGTACCTTTCTTTTTTCCTGGATCAAGTTGGAGCTGAGCGTACGTTTATCGATTTTACTATGCTCAAACTACGCCGGTTAAATGTTTTTATATTATATTCTAATACAACTTTGTTTCTCAAATATATATATGTATATTTTCCTCATCCACTATTAAAAAAAGCCATGTTTACTCTCGCGTCAATTAACTGCCGGGCCGCCAAGACGTAAATATAATTAGATAGATTAGTTGCGAGGAACATCGGGGTATCCAGGCGGTTTTTTTCATTGACCAAGTATGCGGAAGACGACGGCACGGAAGGGTCGGCGCGCGTCTTCCGATTTCGATAGAGCTCGGTGTTGCGCGTTTATGCGGTATCACGCCGACGCGTCAAGGCTTCGCTGTTCGTGAGGCAAGCGTGCCGGGTGAATGTGCACGTGCACACCTTGAGAGCCTTGTGCCTCCAAAGCGAAAGGTCTCTGCCAGCTGGTCTTTTCGCCAACGACCCCCAGAGCTGTACCTCGGCTCCGACCCCGAGACAGGGTCGAGAGATCCTCCGGCCAGGCGGAAACCGTATCAAAAGTGGCAAAAGCTACGCGCGTTTCGAGACCCCCGGTGTTTGAGGAAACCGTGGAAAAGAGAGCACCGGGGTGAATATATGCATGAACGACCCAACTGCCGAAGCAAATTTCCTGAACAAACGCACTTCGCCTTTCGCCTCTCACCCGGGGGAGACGTGCAGACGTAATCCGCTTAATCCTCGGAAGGCAGCAAACTGTAAAAACTTTGTCAGCTTATCGTGTCAATTTTCCACGGCGAAGATAGATGGACAATATATAATTGCAATTACGCCGTTTAATCCGATTCAATATGCGAGAAGCGTGATCGGGGTCAGCGTGCGCCACGCGGAATTCGGTCAAATAATTAGCGTTAATTTATTTTGGCTGCGATTTATTGTGAGCTGCGTGCAACGTTAATATTAATTGGCATTGCAAATGAATAGAGGAATAATAATTATTTGATATACGCTCGTTCCAGCGAAGGCCGGTTTAATCGCGGGCATCCGTATTCATAAACACCGCGGAATAATTCGGTACGCGAGAACTCGGCAGCGATATCGACTAGAATCGTATATAAATCGACGGGTCCGCCTATCGAGCCGAGGCGATCGGCAGAAACGTGCGCCCGGCCCGGCCCGGCCCGACCGCGCGGCAAAGAGAGGAACAACAATGAAACATTTATCCACGAGATAATGCACGGCGAGATAATGCACGGATTCAGAGATCACTGCGCGCGCGAGTAGAGGCCGCGCATCCTTAGGGTTCGCATAATCTCTCTCTACCCTAACCCGACTATAACCCTGGGAGGTCAACGGTGTGTAACGGCAGAAACACTTAGGAAATTACATAAATGTATATACTCTGTCGTTCGGGAAAAGTTGGGACGATGAGGAAGCGCGAGGGTGACCTTGCGCGCTCCCAACATCAACGCGGAAGAAAACGCGAAGGAAGGAAGTTAGCTGTTTCATTAAATGTAGATAAATCTTCGCCGCGCGCGCCGGCCGCCGCGCTGGCTGCGATTGTTCGCCGTAGTATACCGCTGCTCGCGGATAATCAAGAGAAACCCGCGGCATTATGTTATTGCGCAACAATACGCGCGCGTGTGATCGCGAGGGTTCAGAGCAGACGCGATGCTCCGGTTGTCTCGCACGAAACCTAGACCTCCCCCGTACGCGCCTCAAGAAGCGCCGATGAAGATCGTATTAACATTCCATGGGAACATAGTATTCCCCCGGCACAATCGCCTGATTAGACATTGTCGGCGCTCTCCGCGGCGGAATTCTTTCGCGGGAACGCCTTGATTTCCAACGAAGGCGCTTCATCACGCGGGAAGATCCTCGCTAACGCTCGAACGACGTCCGTCTGAGATTATTGGAAGTTATTATATCGCAATTTTTTTTTCTTAAGACATGCACGCATGCCCGACGTTGATATGGATTGATACGAATAACCCTTTAATGATTGCGTACCATTAGCAAATTTTCTTTCCGTACGATTTTCAAATTTTTTGACTGTCTCTTGAAGCTTCTTTAAAATTTCTTTTATTAAACTGTCTGTAGAATTTAATCGGGCAACAATTCTTCGATATTATTTATTTGTCGATAAGTTTTTCGAAAATTGAGCTTTTTATTTCTTTCATTTACGGAAATCTTACATTTCAAATATTTTCCATCATAAATATATATCCCTTGTCTGACTATCGGAATGGAAGAAGTCTCTGAGGGCCGACCAAAGTATGAAAATGATATAATCGAAGGTCTATCGCGGAAGTAGATATATAATACGTATGTTTCTTTTGTCCGGCGCATTGGTAATTTGTTGCGAAGCAAATAGTAAAGACTGAGAGACTCTCGAGTGATGTGCTCCAGATGAGTATTCGAGAGAACCGCGCGCTCGAGCACGGAGACGAGAGAATAGGAAGAAAGAGGAGACCGGGCGCGAGAGGAAGAAGGAGACCGCGAGATCGTTGTGCACGCTTACGACCGTCGGGACTGGTCGGGGCGATCGATCAAACGCGAATCGGTCGTTCGAGAATCGTTCTGCTGCTACAGGGGGCTCCGCCGGACCTGGGCGATGGCTGTT